CCTCCCCAGCTTTCATGATTAGGGTTACGTTCCCTGAAATCATAAATGATCAAGCAGTTTTTACAGATCTCGGTGGAAGAAATCCTTAGTGAAGCAGTAGACAACTCCCATGACAGCTATTAGATTGACGAGCTCTCAGAACGGTACCAAGTAATGAGTGGGCCTAATAGTAGTAAAGGAATGTGCTCATTGACCCTTCAAAAGATATAACTGCTTCAATGCGCACTCCGCTTCAAGGGTCACCTCCCACCCCCGAATAGAGCCCTCTAAACAGCCAGGTATGCAACAAAACCAGGAAATTCACCTTTCGCGAGAACGGGTGCTTTCCCTTTGGACTTTCTCCTTTCGAATAGTCATAGCCTGCCCCAAACAGCACACAGAAAAATGTCAAACATGAGCCCAAATCTGATCTAAACTATTCTTTCAGGCACTCACCTTCCATGACTCTGAACAGACATTCTGGCCATGTTGGCCATTCGCTCCATGCTATTCCTACTACTCCTATCCATCATATTCCTATCCTTCCTATTCCTATCCAGCATATTCGTATCCATCGTATCAATACAGCTACCCAGCAGCAGTGCAGTACACCTATTCACAACCGGCGACGACGATCATTCGTGAATCAGCTCCGACTGTCATCGTTCGCCATTCGGCCCCTGTTTACGAGGTCGTCGATACGGCACAACATGCCGCCGATACAGTACCACATGTACATGTCCACAGAGTTCGCTATATGTTAGTTCCAGTGAAAAAGAGTTGAGCTATACCGTACTTTTGACAATGGCATTTCAGTATTTTCACCGTTATTACAATCAATATTGTTTACGATGTTTTTGAATGATTGATAAGGTCAACAGCTACATATTACAACGTTGGAAAAACATTCCATAAATATAAATATCATTGCAAGTATTCAACACAGATGATGTTTGGTGACTATTGAGTGCTGGGTCAAACAGCAGAACAGGGTTAGCTGTCTCTATCATTTATAAAGCAGTAACTTGTCTCCAAATAAAAAATAGAAAGGCTCTTTTTTTCCGTGGTACAACCGAAGGATGAGAAACGAAAGAAAGAGAGAAAAAATGGTCTTATAATGAACAAAAACACCAACAAAAACAAACTTGCTAACTTTGTCTTCCAGAAGAGCCCCATACACTTATCTACTTATTAATATGCGTATGATGAGGTGAAGGCCAATCGTTGTGGGTCGTGTTTGGGGCTGCACATGTTCAATTCGAATGTATATTCCCTTGAAAATCGTGCAACATTCTATTCTTGGAGACAGAATAGTAAAAGGAAGGAAGGAGAAGAATTGTCCTGTCAAGGAAATGAACAGGCCGATGCAGTTGAGGACCAGAAGATGAGCATTTGCCCGGAGGTTGCTGCTCCCACATAGGAATCCTCCTAATCTCAATGGATAGACTTATAACCCAGACATGAGCAGAGGAGCAAAAATTGTATGAAGCACTATATTCGTTTTTCGAGTCAACGGAATTTTACAAACGAATCTTCCGAGTTTTGCTCCGACCATGGTCCGATGATACTCTATGCTCATTGAGCAGACACCTATGTATGAACGAATCCTTCCTTCAGAGGGATTGACATTGATGGCCACCGACATTCGTAAACGGTGCCCTTCAACTCTGTAGCTTACAGTTCTTCCGGACTTCCAATTCGTTGACTGTTAGAGTGGGAAAAACAGCAGTTTAGATCGAATAGCATCCCCTTCTACAAAGCTTTTATTCTACAATGAATGGTTTGCTTACATTTCCTGTTACCACTCATTGTGTGGTGGCACGACCGTCAGACTTCAAGAGAAGCACAACCAAAACATCCTTTCACGAATGCAGAGCTTTATAGGAAACACTTTACAGTTTATAACTCGTTCCAAGAGTTTAGCTACTTCCTCCTTTCCTGCTTGATCCGAAACTGGCGCGATTCGCTTCACTACGATTATGACCAGTTGTGGAAGCAAAGCTGGTTCAGCTTACTTGTCAAAATGAAGGAAATCGCCTCAGGGAAAAATCGGCAGCAAATCCCTCCGAAAAGTCACAGCTGGCACAATAGGCTACCCGAGGATAATCCACTTCAGGCAGCTGAGGTGCAAACCCGGTTCCATCGACGGTGTATAAAACGACTTCCACGCTACCAGTAACTTCACTTCCATCAATCCAATCGGCCATTTAACATCTATCATATTTTCAAACAATTTTTCAAAATACAAGTAAATTAGGGTCAACTATGTCTACTTGTACCCCCTCCAATACTGACAACATCGCGATTTCGCTACTTATCGTTGATTCCATTCATTCCTTCACAGAGACTCCGAGACTATCATATTGACATCCCCAAAACTTTGTGTCTGAATGGTTCCACATTACTAGAACTGATACTTACATCTTCATTAAATCGAAAAATTGGGTGTCATTTCAAGCGCAATCGAGACCATTTTTTACCTAACCAGTCAAATTATGGTCTTGTATGACTTTCAGCTGAAGAGGGGGGTGAGCTCACCCTGAAAAGGACTGCACTGGAACTTTACCCAAACTTCATATTTTATTCTTTCCTTGATCGATTTGCACCCTTAAGGATAGCCATGAAACCATCGAGCTTTGTCCTTTAGGGGGACCCTTTTCGCAAGAATCAGTAAACCCATCAGATGTTCCGTTGCTGTGATGCACTCATCGAGTTTTGCGCCCTCACAAAAATAGCAAAAAAAGGAGCAAGTAAGAAAAAAATCAAAAAATAGTGTAGCAAAGATTATGTTCAATGGTTTCGGCTGTTTTCAGGAGTTCTGGCTACGTTCTCAGCTCGCATTCTTTCAGGATGTTGTTCTTCATACTGTTATTGGCGTTCGTAATTTCAATTCGTGCTGAAGGCTACGGTGCACCACCACCGGCCTCTATCGCCCCTGCTTCAGCACCTTATGGTGCACCATACTCGTCGAACCAGGTGGTTGCCGTACCTCAGGTTGTACAGCAGCAATTCCAGCCAATGCCCCAACAGCTCGTCCAACACTCAGGGTCTGCTGGCGTACAGCAAGTAGGCATGCCAGTAAGCTACAGTATGTACTCCAATACACCGCAACAGATGAACCAGAATCCATACCAGCTGTATGAACGTCATCCGATTCCGAGCCAAGTTTTCCTGAACTATCCTCAAGGAATGAGTAAGTTGCCATTCATTCAGATACTTGATTCAGGAGTTCATAGTTCTATTTTTGGGTTATCACAGCCTTAAATTCGGAAGGGCATGGATTATTGGGTTTCCAGGAGTCTCCCTGGTTCACCTTATGATGTGGATTCGTTTTTATCCCAATCACCTCTGTTCTCGAACAGACGTTGAGCCCAGGGGGGTCTACTACAGGACAACTTTCTCGAAGGAGAATTCAAAAAAATTTTCCCTGGCTCTGAGCGCAGAAGCCCTCTAAAGGAGTACAAATTTCAGTCATTCAACCTCAACGTCAGCAAAACGCTGTTCTTCCCACCGCTGGTACCTCGTTTATCGCATCGTCAGGTTATGGTCAGCCAGCAACAATGTCTACCCAAACAACTGGACCATACGCTACACAGACGACATCGTCGGAGACAAGTACGGAAGAAAAGGGTATGTTTTAGTTAGATCCTATGGATTCTTTCCGGCAGAGTCTGTTTAGGGTTAATAAATTCAAGTTATCTACTACAAACGGGTGTATAGCATTGTGATTGGGAACCAAGAAATCATTCTTTCATCCAATTCATTTTATGAATTTCAAAAACCTTCCGTTCAGGCACCACACTGAGCGCTATGTCCGGATCGCCTAGTGTTGTTGATCCATGGGCATCTCTAGGAGGCCTGCCTGCGAAAAAGATCGAGAGCAGAAAGAAGAAGAACAGCGATGGGCTGTGAACGGAAGGCAAAGCCTAAATTCGATTTTTTGCTCACAATGAATATTAGCTTAGAAGAGTGTTCCGGATGTAATTTTTCGCCTAAGCTAGTGATGGAGAGGAGCAGAAGGCGGAACTGAGGAAGATTCTGTCATCAAGATAATATCTCCCTATAGGAGCTCATGCAAGGGAGCCATTGCCAGTGCTAATCAGCCTGTCAACGATCAATGAAGTAGAGCTCCATTTTCACCAGCTGGTTCCTGGTGATGCGTAAGTTGAGTGTGTGCGCCGCCACGAGCGGGATATCGCTCACGAGACGACTATCTAGTGCAAAGAACTAATCAAGCAGCAAATTGGCGAGACAACTAGCTAGAAATGCACGTGCATGGCGTACGCCGCCTTCATTATGATCAAATTCTTAGGAGCATTGCAAAAGTAAGGAAATTCTGTGTTTAACTCTTATTGAATCTTCATTCCTTCAAGAACAGATACTAGTTCAAAATGGAGCATGAGAAGGAGATCTGAGCTCAGAGATCTCCAGGTCATCAAATTCACCGATAAACAGACTAAAACTACATATCTTAGGCTTGCTGAGAAGGCCAAGATTTGCAATGATTCTACACGTTTTCCTTGATATTGTACTCAGAGAAAGAGGTACCATGTAAGGATTCCTCACCTAACTGGTAAACAGTCACAGTTCCCTGGATATGAGAAAATACAGATCTGGTAAGTCAGTATACTCGATAAAAATTAAATAAATATACATCGACTATCCTATCAGAACCATAAGAATTAAACAATGTGCAGAGACGCAGAGTAAATACCAGACGACAGAGCCTTCACGCATTTATACAGACGTGTCGTCAAAATTGAAAGACCGAGTCGTCTTTGACGATCATTGTACGGGTAGAGTAACGGCGATCAAATACCGATTGAAGTATCCAGTAAAGTCGACGAGAACAATAAACACTATACGATTTGAATATCACAACGACCACGATGAACACCACGAGAACCTGAATAAGGGATGATTACGGTAGCTGTAAGAGAGTTACGGTAATCGAAGATGTAAGAACGTACAGGATCAATCTGTTCTCCACGAATCATTTGAACAAGAAGTACAACAAAATATGCAGATGCCATCAGGAGATCTACAACAGCGGCACTGATATATGGTATGATGGCACGATATCTGGACGTTTGAATGGCAATCTGTAAATGGAAGGTATCAGCAGTGTTTATAGTCTGCGATTCCGCATCCACGCAGGGGCAGACATATTGAGGGCCGTTCTATCTTCTATAACCATAAGGAAAATCGCGATTCAAGTTCTACTACAGTAATATTCGGGTGTACAGTATGATCTAGTGTACTTTGGTACCGAGTGGCGTCACAGCTTGATGGCTGTGTCACCCAAATGGGAAACTCTGAAATCATATTTGGTCCCGAAATGGGTTTCAATTTACTGCCTCCTTCTTGGAGACTGGCCCAAAACCTTACTATATGTCCTTTTTCAGTCTGTACTGTTTCCTATCTGTCCTACGGAAAATAATAGTGATAGGTTACCAAGCCATGCGGTGTGTCGCGCGGATTTGCCTTTCACTGCGTGTGACTTAACTTTAGTTGATCAGATCGCCAATTACGAAGACTTACCAAAGCTGCAAGATTGATGAACAAATGGGCGATCAACCAGGCTAGCAGGGGACCATTTGTAGTGCAGAGTCGTTTCTGAGTAGTCACTGTCGAATGTTCTGGGCCTCCAACAGAAACGTTGTACGATCGACATCGCATCAATGGGTGCTCGAAGTCTGAACACTGTATTATATACATATGATCTCTCTTTTTCTTTCAAATTCAACACAAATACTTTCTGGAGCTCCAGTGAAGCAAGGCAGTAAGGTGAAGGCATCACGAATCAGACGTACTGCAGCTGAACTGTTGCCTAGATCGATTTCAGCTCACCAGGAGTCCGTTGTTAGTGTGTTGTCAGCATGTCAATTTCGGAATTCAATGCCAAACTGGCAATTTCAATGTTTTTTCAAATTCGTGGCCCATGCTCAATATCATTTCGACTGCTTATCATGACAATATAATTTATAACATAATGATTATTTGAGAGTATATCATTTGCCTTCATCTCACCTTGAAATCAACACTAGTGATAAAGAGTGCGAATGCCTGATTTTGCTTTATCCCCAAACTTGATCCGATCTCATGAAGTCTTCTGTGAAAGAAAAACGCTAGTAGGATACTTGATACTCTACTATGCCATGGAGACCCGGAGTTCCAAGCCCCGTTCATGATCGAAGATCATCAGGGAGACTTCCTCACACTGGAGAAATCGGAGATCAGGTCATCGGACGGGTAAAGACCCCTCCGAACTTTAAAGCGGGCTACAGCTGGTTTGCAGCGGAGACTGGTTCGAAGTTCAACAAAACAAATGGCGTCAGAAGTATCAAGCCTGGTGCTCGAGGATAATCCACTGAACTACTCTGACTCGTAAGTATGACCAAGGAAGACGTTTAGTGCTAATTACCAGCTAGAATAGTGAATTCAGGGTTTAGAGAGATGGACCGGATACTCTCGATTAGTTCCTTTTCCTTAATTTCCCCATCAACACTTTCCTTGCCCTCGCCACTGCCTCTATAGTTCATCGACGTTCCAGAACTCCGACATAAAAGAATACTAGTAACTTACCCCGCCCACCCAAGAGAAGAGCCTGCAAAATCGATGTTCAGGCCATGCAATGGTTCCCAATCTTTGACGACAATAATCGCTTCTGTTTAGAACTAAATTGCTTACAACTAAATTGCTTCATGTAAACTCCCAGATCAGATCCTCCCACCCCCTCCTCCCCCCTTTCGCTCTCACCATGTTTCTGCTTCGATGGAGGATCGGATCCAAATGTGCTGACTCTTTTGTGGCAACTGGAATCTGGTAATGCTGGAGATGCTCCGACTAACTCGATATGCGTGTGTTTCTCAGCGGACCATTTTTTACACACCTGCTTCCCATTAGATGTTCATTGACAAGATTAGTGAATTAGGGCTGTCCCCCCGCCAAGGAAGATATACATATGTTGGAAGTTCCATTCCAAATAAAATCTAGTTTTTGTGTATGAACACATGTATTGACTCCAACGCTCTGCCGTAAGTTCGAAAAGTTCACCATCCTACCTGTCAGCTAACTTTTATTATAGGTTAAATCAGGACGCAATGAAGTTTGCCCCGTCAGAACTTAATCCTGACTGTTTACTGCAAATTATCTGCCTTTATAGGAGGCGACGTCGTCGTTCGATGTTCGCCCACCGCATCACGTAAAGCAACTGACCAATCCGGTCAAGCAAATCTTTCAGGAGCATCAGCTTCTCCCAAAGGGTGATGGGCTCTCCGCTGAACATCCTAGTAGGGCATCCTTCTGCATTTGTACGAGCATTTCAAAGCGAATCATACATAAACAACGAATTTTTGAAGTGCAGGTCGTCATCTGCACTGGATACTGGTTCAGCGGGTTGTCACTGCTGGCT